ATGAGATCATGACACCAGGAAAAGGCTTCCCAGAGGTGCCTCTACTGTTCTTTGCCTCAGCCCCTGTCAGCACTCTGGGCTCCTGATTCCCCAGCCACCTACTGGTTCTTTTTAAATGAAGGATGGTAATTTTTCATTTAATACTAAATATTTTTTCTGACTTTAGTTTGTGTATATCTTGGGATGAAGCCATATTTAGGGACAGTTAAGATGGAATTCCAATTTCCACATTCTACTGGGCACTGACTGACAGTTTAGACTTGGTTATTGTCATCTGCCCCAAACCCAAAAAAGTCAATTCAATGAAATCCCAAAATTGGTTTAATTCTAGTCAGAAATTAAATAGAATTTGTATTATCAGATTTTGAATACAGTTGATGGTAATTTCTTTTGTTATCTCACACTTGCTTGAATGAATCTTTGAGAAAGACATTTACTCATAACTAAAAGCATAGAAGATAAAATTTTCTTTAGGTGTTGTGACAGTAGACTGTGTCAACTTGAGTAACCACCCAACTGATTGGATCAGAATAGTTAGATTATGAATCTAATAATAGAAGATTAAAACTCCTTATTTACCAGGAACTATGCAAGAACTGCTAACTCTCACTCTCTCTCTCTCTCCCTCCTTCCCTCCCTCTTCTTCCTCCTTTCCTTTCTCCCTTCCTCCTTTCCTTCCCTCCCTCTTCTTCCTTCCTTCCTTCCTTCCTTCCTCCTTCTTTTCTTCTTTCCTTCCTTGATGGTACTGGGGATAGAACCCAGAGAGCACTAAGCTACATCCCTAATCTGTATGTATGTGTGTATGTATGTATGTATGTATGTATGTCTTTTATTATGAAACAGGGTCTCACTAAACTGTCCAGGCTGGACTGCAAGTTGGGATCGTCCTGCCCTCCTGGCTGAGTTTCTGGAGTAGCAGAAATGTGCTACCGTATCCAATTGACTTTCTCAACTTTAAAAGACAGAAGGAATCTGTTAGATTTAGAAGGCAAAATATTGGTGCAATTCCAAATAAAATAAATTTATTCTTTCACCATAATTTCACTTACCATCTTAATACTACCAAGCAGTACTATATCTGTTCTTAATATTTACAAAGATACTCCTTAACCTCATTTCATAAAAATTTCTGTTTCATATGCTTTCCCACAAACTTAATTTCAACCTTAATATTTATATATTCAGGCCAACTAATTATTTCTAACACTGAATGATTACTTGAACCTTAAAACTGACATTCAGCTTCAAGTTAAATTACTTCTCAATATTTGTACCAATAGCAATTTGTCACATGATCAGTTGTAGAATTTTCAATGTGATATATGCATTCAGACCCAAATATTAACTGATTCTTTAAATACTTGTCTTTCTCATCACTATACTAATTTTAGTTACTGCTAACAACTGTGGGAATCACCCTAGGAGTTTATCCTCAACCAGGGGCGGAATGAGGATGAAGACAAAAGACACAAAGATGGGGCTGGGGATTTAGTTCAGTGGTTCTGCTGCCTGCCTCACAAGCGCAAGGACCCGAGTTCAATGCCAGGTATCAAAAAAACCAAACAAACACAAAGGTAATTAGGAATGAGACCAGGAGACTCTTTGCCTCTAATGGACAAAGAGCCCTGAGCATTTGGCTCATCTTGCTCTTATTCACTTAGACAAGGGAACAAACAATTAAGAGAAGAGTCATGCCTCTTGTTATCTATAGCATGTACCCAGGTAAACATTCAGATCTCAGCTGTACTGACTGTTCTCTGTCTGCATGTTGCCAAAGGAGCCAGCCACAGCTTGCTGTTTTTCTCTTTTGTGACCACAGAGAAAGTCAATTAGACTTTGGTCCTCATTATCTGGTCTCCTACAAATAACCTCTTCCAACTTTCATCAGATGAGCAGGAATAAGAATCACATCATTTTCATCAGAGGGTAATAAAGCCAAATGGATGCAAATACAGTGGGCCTCCAGGCAATCTTATATGACCCTGCTAGAGATAACTGATTTGTATTGTCAGTGGCGTAATTTCTACTATACTTGAACACAGGGGAATTTCATTAATTTTCATGCTCAATCCCAACCCTGATGGGGCATTCCCCTGATGGAATATTCTCTCATTAGCTCCCCAACTACTGAGTCTATTGACTACAAAATAGACTATTTTTAAGCCCATCATGGTAACCCTATTCTCTTTTCCACTGACAAGGGCCAAATGAAGGCACTCTGGCTTCATGCATCTGGTCAGCCTTTGTTCAGTGTGGTTGTAATTTATATATAGGTGACCACCAGTTTTCTCACCAGACTCTCAGCAGTAATTGCCCAATGTGATTTTATAAACCACATGCCAATTTAATAATTTGTATCCTACTTCACAGTAACAACCACAGTATAATTTTACATTCATTTGTAATTGTATGATTGAAGTCTGCCTCCACCACAAGACTAGGAACTACAAGAGAACAAGGACAAAATGCTTGCTCATTGCAGATTTGCAATGCCTAGGCATGTGCCACTGTGCCTAGCTAGAACGGTTTTTTTTTGGTTGTTTTGTTTGGTACCGGGAATTGAACTTAGGACATTGCACTTGCCAGGCAGGTGTGGCACCACTGAGCTAAATCCCCAGGCCCTAGAATCATTTTTTAAATGGGAACATGAACAATGGTAGCAGATCCTTCAACTATACCCTTAGTATTTACAAAGCATTTGAAGAATTTTAAAGCACCTAAAAACAAAATTTATACTATTCCCAAAGATATAAGTGTTATATTTCTCCTCTTCTCTAGACAGGAGAAAAAGGACTCACTCAACATGACTTATCTAATCAAGTTCTCTGGATTTGCATTCCCTGGTTTTGGCCTCAGAATAAATTTAGGAGATTTCTTGTGGTGTCATGGCCATGGTATCATTAAGTATAATACTTAATAAATTAAAGCTGTATAAGCATTAAAAAACAAATCATGCAAAAACACATTCTAGAATTTAAATTATCTATACTACGAAAAATAAATGAGTTTGCAATTAAAGTACCTAGATTTTGATCAGGGCTCCAACACTTGCTGGCTGAGATTTTTAACAAGTAACTGAGCTGGTGTGAAGAGCAAAGGAATTTACACACATGACTCTTAAAAACAACATGATACCTGTTGTACATTCATGTTAAGAATTTATCAAATGTGAGAACTGGATAGTGGAGGAAAGCATAGAGACATTAATAATAGGAGGCTCACTTACTGAACGTTTCCTGTGAGTCAGGTACTAGACTAAGGGCTTTCCTAGCTCCTCAACTAAATGGGATAAATACTATAAGGTGTTAGGTGGAATTATGGAAACATTCCATGTCTGAAGAATAAAAATGGTCAGATAGCAGTTTCATGATAGCTCAAAATATCATCTTCCTGATTGGAGAAGGTGAAACACAGAGACTTAGCTAAGATAAAACAGACAGCATCCCTAAAGTCAGGTTTATAAGCCATGCAAGTGGACATCGGCACCAACATACTTGGCCAATATGTTCTGAAATTCCCAGCAAGTAGGCAGTTCTAATTGTTTAGTAGTTTCAGCCTCTAAGCTTTAATCAAGTATTATTTTCATGGTAATAGAGAATATATTTTAGATGTATTTTTAAAAGTCAAGAAATGCCACAAAAAAATTCAGCCTAAGACTCCAACAAAGTTTGCATTCATTAAAGTAGCCCATGTTGTTCTTTTTCTCATTGTGTTTTTTTTTCTCTCATTGTGTTTTAAAAATTTTATTGGTAAATTTTAGATAAAGATAATGACATTCACCATAGAGAATTTGTACCTGTACATGATATATCTTCATTCTTTTTTTCCCATTCCTCTCCCCTTCCTTCAACCCCTCTTCTCTTTATTTACAAAAGCTTTGTTTCCATTTTTTTCTTTCTAGTCTTTTATTTTTTTCTTGACATTTCTTTTGTTTCCCCTTCCCCCCTCCCTTGTTCCCCTTCTCATCTGAACATGTTCTTCCCATTTGCCAATATCTATTATACATTTTGGTCCTTATTTACACTTTCGATTTCTCACAGCAGAGAAAAATGCAGTATTTAAGCATGTGTGTCTCATTTATTTACTTAAGAGTATGTTCTCAAGGTACATCCATTTAGCTAGAAAGGTCTCAAGCTTATCCCTTATGGCAGAGACCCATATTGTTCTTGCTTCGGGTATTACCCTTCTCTTCAATTAACTCTTACCATAATTCCTTCACCCAACAAATACTCAGCCTCATGCTCAATTTCTAACCTCTTAGAAAGATCTTCTTTTCCATTTCCTCTCCCCAACTCTTAGCATTTGACCACTTAAATTCATCTCTTTTTTTCAGATTTTGTCCCCTTATAATAAAAATCTCACTTTGCCATTTAAGATGATTCTTCCCAGCAAAAATGAAGGCTTCTTGAAGGAAGAGCAATAGATGTTAAATCTGATGAAATACCAAGCCTCTCACGCGTGAAATTTAATAGGGCTAAACAATCACAATCACCTTTAAGGGGCTGAGTGATTAACCCTTCTCTAAGCTCGCCTGTTTGCATCCTCTACTCTGAACTCATCTAGAAGCTAACTGCCCTAAGATATTCTTGTATCATATTCTCAATGTTTCATGTGCTTCGGTTTTTTCCCCTGAAACTGAAGTTCAAGGGCAAAGACTAAGCCTTATTCTCTGACTCAACACAGTGCCAGCAAACAGGGAAAACCTAACAGTCTTAATTAGTGGCCATGAAGAAAAATTAGCAGTTGAGGGAAGGTTCTTTACCGCAGTGATCAAAAAAATCCCTTGCGAGAAATGAAACCACCCATCCTTTGAAAGCCTCCAGACCCCTGGCTGTCCTTTTAAGGAGGCGTGTGAGGAAATCAGCAGCCCGGCGCCCATTGGCTGAGGAGCACCCGCCGGTCCGCCGCACGCGGCGCCGGCTGCGTCGGCCGGGACGCGGCTCGCTGGCCGGCAGGGGGCGCCTTGGCGCGTGCCCTTGCCCAGCCGCGCAGTCCACCCGCGCTCTTAGCCCGCGCGCCCGCCAGCCTGCCGGCTCGCCAGCTGCCCGCGCCCGCCGCAGGCCTACAGCCAGTCCCCCGCGGGCCGGGCGACCTGCAACTCGCTCACGCCCCGCCCCGCCCCTGCCCTTCTGCAGGACGAGTAACGATTACGAGGCACTTTCTTGGCCGCGATTTCTGCTTAGTCATTGTCTTCCAGGAAACAGCTACCTCGGTCTGCAGCCAACTCTTCCGCGGAGCCAAAGCCAGCCGCGCTTCTGCCCCGGCCGCTGCTCCGCCACTGTCCGGCCTCCTCCGCCCAAGTGCAGACCGGGCTGCAGCCGCGCGGGGCAGCGGCCTCGCGCTAACCTCTAACTTCTCGGGCCGAACACCTCGTCCTGCCGGCAGTCGACTGTCCGCCCGCCCTCCCACGGTCCCGTCGCCCCTCGGGCAGCCGCTGCCATGGGCACCAACAGCCGCGCGGCCGGGGCGCTCCTGGCGCGGGCCAGCACCCTACACCTGCAGACCGGGAACCTGCTAAACTGGGGCCGCCTGCGGAAGAAGTGCCCGTCCACGCACAGCGAGGAGGTGAGCGGGGCTGCGGGTCAGGCCGCGGCTGGGTGGCGCGGGAGGCTGCGGCCCGGGGCGGCGCGGGGCGGCGCGACCCAGATCCGGACCGCAGCGGAAGCAGCGCGGCTCCACCGCTCGGCAGGTGCAGCTGCGCGGCAGTGACGCCCTTGCCTGGCTCGGCGGATGGGACCTAGAGGTGCTCGGTCGCTGTCCCCGCGTCGCTCTATCCTCTCCCTACTCCCGCTCACCCGCCATCTCGTCCGGGCCAAGGAATAGTTAGTTGAGCGATTAGCCTTTGGCAAATATTTATACTTAATTTTGGAGTATTGACATTGGTTTCTATGTTGCTGAGAAGCAAACGACCAAAGACTTAAATTTGGCTTTGGAATAGACATATTTTTCTTACCTAGAAATGAAAATGTCTCATTTTACTTGCCTGAAGACAAATCAGTGGTTGAAAGTGCCAGAGATTAATCTGGAATTACACTGGCCATTCCTGAGCCAGTCATCATCCATTCATTGCACAACTAATGGCCGAAAAATATTGGTGGTCCGTGGAGCGATTTAGTACTGAAAAAAATTCTCAACGAATATGTACCAAGCTGAAGTTACTAAGTGCTAACTAAAAATTAAAATGATAAACCTTTAGATGTAGGAACTGTGTGACACTGGGAAAGTTAACCCTCCCTGTGTTTACATAGCTTTAAAGTTGATTAGTAATAACTTCCTTATCAGACTGTCATGAGAAGGAAAGAATAAGGTGAAACCCTCAACACAGAGATGTCTATCTCCCAATTATCTCGTTCCAGGAGAAAGATAAAAGTCTTGATTAAAAAGGGGAAAATGCCCTAGATGATGCTATAGTATGATGTTATCAGCTTGTTCTGAGAGGGTTTTGCTCTTACATGAGACACTAGGAGACAGACTGTAGCAGAACTTGGCATCTCTCAAGTATATGCTGGGATGCAGCACCTTCAGGAGATGAGAACTCATGGTTTTAAGTTTAATGGGAACCAAAATCCCTACCCTATTCTGTGTTCAGGTTTCAGCTTATATGTTTTGTTTAAATCACCCTACTCTGTTTCTCCCAATAATAAGTATTTCTCTATTTGGCAGTAGAACCTTCATCTCTTCCAGTACTGGTGGTGTTGTTTCAGTATAGCATTTTGGATGTAAATTGGGTACATTTTCTCTCTCTTATCTCACTGCAACACACTAAAGTAGCGGTTTTCAAAGTTGTTGACCGCAAACTGTAATGCATTTTATCCACTCAATTCATAATTTATATGTTTATCAATATGTCTGACTTACAAAAGATGTTATGTTGTGACTTTTTTCTCTATTATTTCAGTTTACAAAATGAATTTTTTTTCATGTGCCAAGAATAAACCGAAGGCTTCACACCTGCTATGCAAGTGCTGTATCACTGAGCTAGCTATACCCCCATCTCCTTAAAAACATGGTTCTTAGTACACTAATGCAGGCAGTTTGAAAAACATTGTTCCAAGGACTAATTCTGGTTTGTAATGTTTCATTTTCATTTCATTCAGGGTGCATCACAGTAGGACAAAACTGAAGAAACTAGAACATTAAAGGAAAACTTGAAAGAATGACAGCAGGGAAACTGAGGGTTTAGTTAGAATAAGATAAATATGTTTTGTTTGTATGTAATGAGAAACTTTGTAACAACCAGAGCTCCAAATTGGGATGTACTACTGTACTTGAAACAGCTCAACCTCATAGAAAAGGTTAAAGAAACTGGATAAAAAAACACTTTATTGAAAAAATTTACACAATTAGGTAGAGAGTTCAATTAAATTTCTTAAAGGAGCTCTTCTAGTTCTAATTTTTTTTATGTTTTTGGGGGGTTTTTTCCCCATTAACTTTATTGGTACATTTTAGGTATACAATACAGTTACATTCACATTGGGATCTTGTACCATTACATGAGTCTCTTGGTTCTTATTTTTTTTTCCCCTTCCCTTGCCCTCCCTTCACCACCTCCACTCTTCAGACCTTGTTTCCATTTTTTTCCTCTTCTCATATTTTTTCCTTTCCCTTTTTTCCCTTCCCCTCCCTTCACCCCCTCCACCTCTCCCCATTTACAAAGACCTTGTTTCCATTTTTTTCCTCTTCTCATATTTTTTCCTTTCCCTTTTTTCCCTTCCCCTACTCCTCCCAATTCCCCTGCTCTTTTAGACCTTTTCTTCCTGTTATGCAATATCAGTTATACATTTTTTTAAAATTACAATATT